GCATTCACCCTCCTGTCTCTGCCCTCTTCCAGTCCCAGTGGAGCCTGGGATGCCCCTTCAGTCCAGAGTCTCAGCCAGCAGTGTCACTGCAGGGATAGACTGATGGGAATGTCCCTCTGGTCCCCATATCACCACCAGTCTCAATGGGAGCCCCACAAGCACCCTGGAGAAACAAGATCCCCAAGCGGCTGCAGCAGCTGATGAGCTGTCCCAGGAGCTGGAGATGCCCCAGGACCCCTGTGGCGTCCTCCAGCTGGGATGTGTCACGGCCCAGTCACTTCCTCTTGGAAGTCCCCATGGGCTGCTTACGGTGCAGCCTGACTCACCGACCCCCTCTTCCCGCACAGCCACCCCCACTGCCCTTGTCGGCCCTGACGGCTGTCCCTGCACAGCCTCCGGCCTCCCCGCGCGGGGACGGCCACCCGCGCTGCTGCTCCCCACGGGTGACTCAGACGCACGGCCGGGGCTGGCCGACCCCCAGAGCAGGATGTGCTCCCCGGACAGAGACGCGACCCTGGGAACATCTTCCAGCAGCAGGCAGGGTATCCGTGACTCAGCCGGGGGTGTCTCGCCACATGGTGGCGGTGGGAATGGCTGGGGGGACTTTGGCGACCCCATCGTCCCAGCGGATAGGACCTGATCCCGCAGCGGGGCAGCCGGGGCTGGTGCCGGGCTCTGCAGCGCTCCTGGCCCTGACACCTCCCGTGCACAGACGCTGCTGTCTGAAATCATGGAGCACAGCCTAGTGGCTAGAGCCGGGAGGAGCCGGACGCCTGGGTGCCTGGCCTGCCTTGGAGACAGCACTAGCCCAAGGAGCCACTTCAAGGCTTTAAGTGCTCTGAGGAGAAATGTTTGCCTCAGTTTTGCAATAGGCTCGGGATGAGCTCTCTGCAGGTCTGGCTTGGCTCTTACAGGGACAGGGAGAGCTAGGAGAGCCCCGACAGGATGGAGGACAGCTCAATCTGGTTTTGCTCCCCTGTTCCAGCTTCAGGGAATGCCACATCAGCCTCCGGGATAGCCACATTGCACTATCCCCCTGCACAGCACTCACTGGGACAAGGTCACCCTGCGTCTCTTGCTGCCTGAGCAGTGCACACCTCAGCCTGTCCTGCCTGCAGTGGCTGCACTCCCTATGGCTGGGAAATGCCACCTGAATTATCCAGGGGATCCAGCACCAGGGCGATGCTCTTACTCCCTGGGGGCAGATCCAGAGCCTAGGCTAGCCAGGGATTGTCCTATTCCCCAGGGGATGAAGGGCTTGGTGGTGAGGCTGGGTGCAGGGAGTCCCTGTGAGCACCCCTAGGTAGTGGGGAGGATGTTGTACTTAGTGCCCAGAGT